TTTTTTTTTTTTATAGACCTGATCGTAGTATTTACATGTTATATCTGACTTTGACGATGAAACAGTTGTCTGTAGATTACACAAAATGTTGTAGTCTGTAAAGAATCGCCCGATCACTTTTACTCTTTCTCGTAATTTATAACTTTCTGTCATGATTACTCGCATCGATTCTCGTTTAGAGAAAAATATCTGTGTTTTCGGTCTAGACTTTCAATCAATCAAATTTCTTTTTCGCGCGAACTTCTCAGAATTACTCGTTTTTCACACTAACACGAATTAGTGTCAGAGTTTTAGCATCCGTCTTACTCATCGAATTGAAATATTTGGTTGAAGTTGAAGGTATTAATAGTTACCTAGACAAAAAAAATTTTTGTCTTTGTGATTTTATGATGCATGTAAAATTAATAGTGTTGCAGTCTGTTACACTTTGCCGGTTTATCAAATTATATACCGACTATTAATATTTCAAACCATAATTTCCTGAATGTAATTTCATATATCACAGATTGGCAAGAGAACTTAAAATTTGTTTTACATGCATTATATATGCATAATATGATAAATATTCTGAAAAAACAAAGACAAAAGAATGCATGTTTGTTAATGTTGTTGAGTACATGGAGAACTGTATTGTAACGTGACTTAAATAAAGTTACCCGATGACTGATCTATGTACGATTTATTATACACCGCAAAATTAAATCCTACAATTCTTTACTTGGTTCACTATGCTGTAAGAATATTTTTATATTTTTCTCTTTTTCTCTTTATTTAAAACTATTATGTTACTAATTATGGTACTAATTAATACTGAAAGACATCAAGTAAATTTATATTAACAATTAGAGAAAAAATACTTAATAAATTAATTTCTTTTTTTTTTTGGTAGTTCAAAATTATTTTATTTCTTTCTTGGAATTTTATTCTTAAATTTTTCACTAACTATGGCCAGAGGGCCAACCGCATCGGATTTAAGCACATTGGTATTAGATGTGGTCGAATTCAAACTAGCCCCCTTCTGTAACTGAGCCATTTCATATAACTCTTTTTGCATTACGGCCAACGAAACTTTATTTGCTGAAAAGAAATCCTGCATAGAAATCAGTTCTCCAGACATTCTTCTTGGAGTTTCCGAATAATCAGATTTAAATGAATCCCTTGCTACTACCCTTGTTCCTCTTCTTTTTGAAAAATAAATCGTAGACAAGGAAGACTTTCTCTTTGGTAAATGTGTTGCGGCCATTTTCTGATTTTTGCATTCTATCTTTTGTATAATGTAATTTAATCCTTGTTTTATTATAATCGAAGTTACGTTCAATAAGGAGTATGTGCAACAGCAACCAATCAGCAAAAACATGAAGTTAATAAAACGGTACCTGTATGCGAGAAAATTTTATATCAGTATATATATATATATATATATATATATATATATATTATCAAAGATTTCGCGAGACGTACCAATGAATATAAGGGTAGTACAAGTTTTGTGTACTAACAAAGTCTCCGAAACCAATAGTTGCAAAACTAACGAAACAAAAGTAAAGGGCGTCGAAATATTCCCAATTTTCGAATTGAACATAAACTGCTGCAGCGCAGCAAGCTATCATACAACATATTATTGATAGAAATAGCATAACCCAATATACACTTGGTTTCCATTCATTTAGATCTAAATAATCGTCATCGAGTATGTCTGGTAAAGATTTCTCATTTTTGGATGATCCGAACGAATGTCGAGATGTCAATGAATTTTTCCGAATATGCCTTTTCATACGATGGATGTGTATGGTCCGTAAAATCCAAGCAAGTAAAGTGATAATCCTTTCGAGAAACAAATTGAAAAATAAAATCCCACCTGCATTGTAAAAAGTAACGAGAAAAATTATAATGTGCATAATAACATTTATTCTTAATGATTAAACTATTGTACTACCGGAACAACCGAGAAAACCATATAGAACGGCAACTATTTTACCCGCTCGTGTTTGCGGTGTAGTGTTCCCATATCCTGCGAAACAAATTGATAATAATTTATAATATAAATTCAAAGTTAAAATGAAAATATAAATGCAGTAGAAGGCATCGATTTACATACTACTGGAGAGGATAACTACAAGACTAGGTCGCAAGATATTAACATTCTGGAATTCACCGGCACATTCTTATGTGTGTTGCGGACGACGACCCTTACCCTTTTTATTTAACGCTCTTATGACCAACTTTTACGCGATAATACAGTCGTTAATAAATTGACAATTAAGCGAATTATCAGAAAAAATAATCAAATGTACAAGATACAAAGTATATAGGACGAATATTATAAATTATTGATACGTTGAAATTTACAATTCTTGTAAGAAATAATACAAAAAGAAGAAAAGCATAAGATAAAGGCCAGTATGTGCGTATGGCTGGCGTCCTACTGACCCATTATTACGGTTCAGTTACATTATAAGACGAAATGCTTGAAGTTTCAAATAAGTCATGATGATATGTATATCTTACCAATTGTGGAAACTATAGTACCCACAAAGTGAAAGCTGCCAAGAAAATCCCATCGTCGGCTCTTATTAATGACGCCAGAAGATGAAGCATTTCCATATGCATATAATAACTCATTTAGTCTTTGAAGAGCAATTGGACCACCTTGCAAATGGTATGTTTGGAAAGTATGATAAACGCGCCAAAATTCTGCAGTCTATATAGTGAACAAAATTTGAGTATTATATATATATGTACTTAATTTTACTTCAAGATTTATACCTGTATTGTAAATTAAAAATAATATAACCAAATACAAAAACACAGACTAAAAGAATAAGTTGGAACTTAAATAAAAAATAAAAGGAAAATAAAAAAAATACCTGTCGCACTTCAAGATCAGCCTCTAGTTGTTGAAAGATTGCAGCGCCGGCTAGCATGTACACTGCCAGGACCCCAAAAAGAAGGATGAACCTTGCGTTGTCCTCTCCGAGGCCAGTGGGCACGCACATCACCGACAATCCTTATCTCTCCGGATACAAGAGACTAGTTGCAATCCCCACCTTCACTTTTCATCTTGGTTGGCGCAAACTCGGCGACGAACATCCGCGAAGATCTACAGATGTATCGTCAACGAAGATTACCAAGATACATCAAATCTACGGTAACTCGGACTTTACGATCAATTTTGAATTTAAGCTACGCTTATAATTTGATTACTTCTAATGGTTTTCTTAATTAATTGTATTTTCTACAGCATACAATTAACATTTGATATATCGATGTTTTATTGATTATAAGATGACATATAGTAAAATTTTAATTCCGTTATTTAAACAATATTGCATTTTATATTACAGAGTTGCAAGACTAAATGATTTATAAACAGTGTTGCAGAAAACATAGGGCAGTAGTGTATAGGAGTTTCACTCCTACTGAAAAAATGCTATGAAAGAAAAATTCTTTGATAGACTAAAAATAGAGATCAGTCTACAAACAGTTCTCTTTTATGGATATGGGTGTAATGTAAACTTCGTACATGATTGCTTCCTTGAATGGCATTCTTAAATATGCAACAGTTTTGTCTGACTGTGTTTTTGCAAGGATAAAATATATGTAAATCGCCATCTAATTATTCGCCAATTAATCGTTGACGCGTTTCTGGGATACCAGGATAGGATATTTTTGGGATATGCAAAAATAAATTATCCTTAATTTGTAATAAAAATAAAGTTTGTTAACAATTTATGTAGGCAATCTAACGGCACTACAATATTTATATAAATATTGCAAACTAGGCACATTGACTCTTACATCGAAATACTTATAGGTACATGCGATAAATCTATAAAATTCATAACATTTGCATTAATGACTGTAATACTATCAAATACGCTATCCGAATTAACAGACCGCGCAACGACTACACTATGGTATTTAATTAATCACGCTTACAATACGATGATCAATGCCTCGTTTGTGGACCTTCCTCCAATTTCCGCCAAACAACCTAAATAAAACACATGTTATTATTAATACAATTAATTTTCAATTTCCTTCAAAGTGACATCTTTATATCCAAACAATAACTTACATTGCACATTTCTCTAACTAATGCTTTTTCTCCGTCGTGGCCGCCTTCTCTCTCCAATTGTTCTCGAACTTCAAGAACCTGAAGAGCTCGGACCACTGCTTCTGGTCGACTTCCTATGTGAGTATTCTCGCCAGGACTGTTCTGATTTTCCCAGATTTCACCAGACGGTACCTCCCAACCTTGTGCTCTTGCTTGTAAAAGACTCTTATCTTCTTCGAGTTGCTTTACCCGCTGTTCTAAACTCCTTACATATTGCATAGTTTGGTCTGCAATATAAATTCCGAAGATTTATAAATTCTTGAAATACAAATTCTGTAATAAACGTGACAATTCGTTTACATCTATAATCTATAATGAACATTGATGATTATTCTACCATTAAACGTGGATGTATGTCTTGGTCTCGGTGGCGCGGTTTCTTCAGCATTCGTACTTGAACTTGAACCATCTCCGTCGTCTCTTTGACCACCTCCTCTTTCTTCGTCCAAATAAAGACAGAGTTCCTTTAGCTCTAGATTATCCTTTATTAGCTCTTGCTGTTTGTTATCCAGTTGTCGCAATTTATTCTGATAAGCGGATACTTCTTGTCGCATAACACTCGCCGTATATCTTCCGAATCTTTGCCATTCTCTCGCTAATTTCCGACCCTTTTGACGATCATCATCCAGAAAGCAGCAAAGATCTCGCAGTTCTTGATTATCATCGCTTAATCTTTGATTTGCTTCTTTTAATGCTCGAAGCTCGCCAAGCTGAAATACGAATGCGTGAATCATCGACGTTCAGTCGCTGTTTCATTATAAACTGAATTCCTATCCAATCCATAGTATAGGAATAAATATAAATTTTATGAATAACTCCAAGTTTCTAAAACAGTCTTCTTAGTGAAAAAAAAAACCGATCGTAATGGAGAGTTTTTGTTCGCAATTGGACTCATATGTGCGTGACTGGTTCAAATTACGATGGTGGGCTCGACCAGTGTGACCTATAAAAGACCCTCAAAAACTTCCGTGTGACGTGCTTAAAATCATGGATCGTATGTTTTTCGCGAAATTAAGTAATAAAATAGCAAAGATACCTTGATGTTAATTGAAAAAGAAAATTATAATTATTATTTTATCGTATATTATTTCTTCTTCTCGATGTATCTTTCGCTTACTATATTGCTCAAAATTGTTCATTTGATGGCAAAAAATACGGTAAGAAATTAATGAAACTCACCAAGCTCTGTATCTGTCGGTTCTGCTCAGCGGCGAGCCTTGCGATGTCGCTCTCAGTCTTGCGGACAAATTTGAGCATCTCCACGGGTCCGAGTCTAAGGAACTCGTCGTCGGTAATCCTTTGTCTGAGCGGTGGTGTCTGTGCAGTGTTTACCGTAGGATATTGACCGTTAGGTGGCAGGTATTGACCTTGGCCGACCTTGGCCTGAAGGTAACTATGAGACTGCGTTTTTGAGACGGGCGCAGTTAATGTGTTACCACCTTGAGGATGATGCCGATGTTCTATCCTCGGTGAGTATTTACTCTGCACATCCTTCTGTTGCGTCACAGGCCGCGATTGCACGGGTTGATGATGATTCAAGGCCGCGACGGTACCTTGACCAGCGGTAGACACCGAGGTTGGCACGGAAGGGCCTGTACCAAAGTGAGGATGATTCTTGAGGATACCGCTGGTTGGCTGCGGTGGTGGCTGATATCGTGGTGGCACTTGTTCCACTGTCACGTGCGAAGGATGCTGCTGCTGCGGCTGGGACTTACTCTTATTGGACATCGCGGCTAATTTAGCTCCAGGCTATACTGTGTCCCATTTCAAAAAGTCCACCGCGACTTTTTCGTGTCTTCTGCCTGTCTCGTTCGACCCGCTAAAATCTGGGTCACCGTACGGTCTCTCCTTTTCTTCACTCTCCTGCTCTCTCAAGATCGGATATACTACTTAAGAGATGGCCCTTACGCGATATGTGTCTTATCTTGTAGTTCCACTAAATTTTCACCTCATGTTTTCTCAGATTTCATCCCTTTTCCTTTTCTTTTTCCTACGAGTTTTCTCCTTCTAATCTCCTCGCATCACTGTCACTCGATTCCTTACAAGTTCCGCTGTAAATTTCCCTTTTATTCAGAATTTTTATGCGCTGTCCTCGTCCGTTCTCTTCTTAGCGGCGTCTCGTACGTCAGTTCAATGCAACATACACTTACACTTTGTAAAATTGTAATTACGAATATTTAAATAATTTTAACTTTTTTTTTATTGTCAAATCATATATGATGAGCTTCGTATTCGTCTTCGCGAACAATCTGGACACCGTTACAGTGTTAAAAGTCGACAGCCTCGGTTTACGTCGTAACTCTACGATCGTGTGGTATGCTCGCGTTCCAGCTGTCAGTAACCGAATTAAAACACGAGAGCATAATTTTATGAAGAAAAGGAAACAAAAACACGGCTAAATATTAGCCGCGTATCAGACACTTATTTTCGTTATCGAAATCCTGAACATACTAGCAATATTACACTCCCGAGAGCTAATGTGTTCAGTCGGGCCCCCGTTTTTCTCGCTGCGGGGCCACCGCATTTCACAAGGCACAGTGCCGTAACATGGAGTGGGGCATTCCAATGAAACCTTGTCCGTGACTACACCATACAACGACAGAATAAGCTTCCTTATACACTCTTCCCGTTTGTTAATTGATTTAGCTTGCTACATGTTGCTGT